GCATCTTGAATCAGGGCTGACCCAGGCAGCATTTTCAGTGTTATAAATTAGCAACCCAAGATTTTTAAATCTCAAGAGGCTGAGGCAAGAGGATTGCAAGTTTGAGGACAGCTTCAGTAAGTTAGGGAGACCCTGTCTCAAACAAAAAATTGAAAAGGGCTAGCATGGGCAAAGTTCTAGTTTCAATCCCCAGCACCACATAATAATGATAATAAAAATCGGGGTATTTCACACAAAAATCTAGGTTTCTGGCTTCTCTTGAAAAGTCCAAAGATTTGGCAAGTTGACCTAACCTAAGTTCCCATTAAACCATAGCTGGCAGAAGCAGATCAACAGCTGCTTTCTCAGTGAAGCCAGAGCTCTCTATAAGCACAGCCCACACTCCTTATCAGCTCCTGACAGCTGATAAGCCATTAACCATGGCTTGCTTTTTAGTGTTTTCAGTGTTTTTCTTAAACCAAAAAGATAAAGTAAATTGTTTCTTGAACCAATCAATGTCTTTGACAAAGCAGGTCTTCTCCCTCTGGACCTGCTGAGCCCCCAAGGAGTCATTTGAGTTTACAAACCAAGGTCTACAGTGTTTGGGTTTTCTTGAATAGGAATGAGTATATATGGGAGAATGTGGCAAGTGGGAAGTAACAGCAAGGATTGTATCAGATCTCTGCCTCTCTCCTGTTTTATGGTTTACAGAGTACTATCTCGTCCATAAATTCATTTCACTCTTTTAACAGCCTAGGAAAGGAAGCATGTTGCTTGAAGGAGACAGCCTAGTCGGGATGAGGCAGTAAGGGCCGAATCAAACCAAGTGTGACATCTGCCATGCCACAGTACCACTCTCAGGTGATCAGCAGCTCCTGGTTTTTTGGTTTTGGTTTTGGTACCACAGATTGAATCCAGGAGTGTTAACCACTGAACCACATCTCCAGCCCTTTTTTATTTTTTATTTTATTTTTTTTTTAAAGAGAGAGTGAGAGAGATGGGGGGACAGAGAGAGAAAGAGAGAATTTTAACATTTATTTATTTTTTTCTTAGTTCTTGGCGGACACAACATCTTCGTTTGTATGTGGTGCTGAGGATCGAACCCGGGCCGCATGCATGCTAAGCCAGCGCGCTACCGCTTGAGCCACATCCCCAGCCCCTTATTTTTTATTTTGAGGCTGGGTCTTGCTAAGTTGATTGGAGCCTTAGTAAGTTGCTGAGAATGGCCTTGAACTTTTGAGCCTCCTACCTCAGCCTCCATAGTCACTGGGATTGTAGGCATGTGCCACCACACCTGGCAGGTCCTGGTTTTGAAGGGGAAGGCCCCGAGATTTCTTCCTAGTCCTCCTTGGACCTTTTTGAGAAACCCTTGGGCTCAAGCCTTCTTAGCTACCCTAGAAGGCCTCCTCACACTTTATTATTATTATTATTATTATTATTATTATTATTATGTGTGTGTGTGTGGTTCTGGGGATTGAACCCAGGCCTTGTGCATGCAAGGCAAGCACTCTACAACTGAGCTATATCCACAGCCCTCCTCACACTTTTTAATTGAAGATTTATTTTTCTTGACCCTTTGCAATTGGGGACATTGGGATCAGGTGAGGCTACGCACCCTGCCCCCAACGTCACACATTCACAGTGAAACTCCAAGGTTCTTAACTGTCCTTTTTTTTTTTTTTTTTTGGTACCAGGGATTGAACCCAGGGGCACTTAACCACTGAGCCAAATCACTAGCCCTTTTAAATATTTTATTTAGAGACAGGATCTTGCTAATTGCTTAGGACCTTGCTAAGTTGCTGAGGCTGGCTTTGAACTGGCAATCCTCCTGCCTCAGCCTCCGAAGCCACTGGGATTGGGAGATATGGTATCACTATATTGTCCAGGCTGGCCCTGAACTCCTGGGCTCAAGCAATCTTCTGCCCCAGCCTGCAGAGTAGCTGGGACTACAGATGTACACACTGTGCCTGACTGTTGACATTTTCACCATACCATTCATGTGTTCCTTGCCAACTTGTCAGGGTTTAGAGGCATCTGTCTGTTCCTTGTGATAACACCCAGGCACTGACCTGGTTGGGGATAGTTGATCCCAGTTATAAGATGGGCCTTAGAGAACAGCCATGTGACAGACTCAGGCAAGAGAAAACCCAGCCCAAGATGAGAGTTGCAAATCAACAAAAGCAAATCTTGCATCTTCATTCTTTTGGTACCTGCCATAATGAACAAAGGGGGATGGGGTCAGAAGCCATGTGGCATTATGAAGGAACTGTACCATCTGTTTCCAAGCTTTGCAGAAACTTTTCCTGATCGCCCTGTGACTCCATTACCCATCTACCACCAATTCCTTTGTGGTTCAAGTCCAGCCTCATGCATGTGGCAGGGAACAGCCAGCATGGGTGAACCCTGACTTCCCTGGTCAGGAAGACCCTTCACTTCATGGAGTCATGACAAGGGCTTATGTCGTAGCTATCCTGTGTGCACTTGCTTGTTCACCTGTCTTAGCCCTGTGATTGAGAGGAAGAAAGCAGGCCTGTCAACTTCAAGAAACTTCTGAAAAGGTAGAAAATTTGGAGAAAAGGCACTGTTCTGGTGAAGTAATGAACTCTACCCACCTAATCTTCAAATCTGACTCCATTAGGGTCTTCCTAATCCTAACCTTTTCTGGGGAGGATTGTTTTATGTGTCACCTTATCACAAGGGGAACCGGAGGTGAGAAGAGGCACCTTGGCAGTAGGAGCTACCTTTAAACCAGATTTTAATTCCCAGTTTACAGCCCCAGCCCCTCCCTGGGGCTCAGTGCTGCCTGGGGAAATCCCAGTTTGCAACACCAGTTCTCAGCTCAGATTCAAGCCAGATCTGGCCCCTGCCCTCAGCTTGCCAATTAAAGGTGCCATAATTGCAACTTAAACATGTTTGAGTGCTTTGAAGTTTGCAAAGCTTGCTCAGGGCTCAACTGAGAAAGAAACCAGACTCAACTCCTCTGCTTCCTGCCCTCATGACACGATTTTCCACTGTTTAATCAAGTCTTTAGGGTCATGAAACCCTTGGGCCTCAGTCCCATTTTATTCTCAGCTGCTCATTTCTTGGCACTAATACTTCCACCAAAAGTAGGGCTCCCTTTTCTGCTTTTGTGGGTCTTTGAGGCTCAGCTTCAGAAACAATTTAAACAAGGAAGAGGTGTTGTTTAGTTTTGTTTTTACTAGGAATTGAACCCAACAGTGCTTTACCACAGGGCCACATCCCCAGCCCTATTTTTTTTTTTAATTTTGAGATACAATCTTGCTAAATTGCTTAGGGATTTGCTAAATTACTAAGGCTGGCCTCAAATGTGCTCTGCCTCAACATTTGAGTTGAGGGGTTACCCAGGGTTTCACAGGTGCATTGGAAGAAACACTTGTCAGCACTAGACAAGATAAGCCCTCTGTGAAAAGCCAACCAGGGTGAGAAGTAAAAACTACAGCCACATCACTCACCCCTAGCTTGACCAGACCACTTAAAATAAGGGCAGGTAAGAGCTTGAATTCCAAAGACCCCCTAAAATTCCTCAGAACATTTGTCTTTCTAGGAATAGGACACATAAAGAAATTTATGATCCAAAGAAGCTAAACCTTGCTCTAGGCCAGTACAGTTGTTTTCAGGGTTGGGGAATTGGTTCCAGGATCCCCATAGATATTGAAATCCACAAATGCTCCAGTCCCCTGTATAAAATGGTGTAGTATTTGCATATAACCTACACACATCTGCCTGTATACTTTAAATCATCTCTAGATTACTTAAATACCTAATACAACAAGTACTACATAAACAGTTATACTTTATTGTGTGGAGAATACTGACAAGACCAAAAAAAGTCTATACATATTCAAAACAAAAACAGATGTATTTTTTTCCCAAATATTTAAAATCTACATTTGGTCAAATTAGTGGATGCAGAACCCACAGATACAGAGGACCGATTATATTTCCAAAATAAGGGATCCCTGTCACAATTATCACATGGGGGTGACTTTTTAAAAATGTAGCAAGCTCCCTGGCTCTGAGCTCTGCCTCTAGCCTATTGAATCGGAATCTCCAGGGATGGAATTTTATGCCTGCTAAAGTTCAAGAGAACTACTCTGAACAAAAGGCCATTTTCCAATTACTTTTTTTTTTTTTGAGGTGGTGCTGGAGATTGAACTTGTCTTTCCAGGGTCACTTTCTTCAGCATTCAAAACTATACCTGGGGCAGTATTCTTGGATTCTCTTCTTCTCAGCCAGACAGGACTGGAGAGTTCTTAGATCACTTAAAAGGAATTTTGTATATGCTAAGTGAGCAAGCACCCTACCATCAACTGCATCCCAAGCCCCTCACTGTTTTTAGTTTTGCAAGAATAGTGGCTGGTTCCAGGGTCTGTCCCAAATGTGTCAGGCCAGGGGATGACCTGCCCTGGTACAAAGACCACATTTTATTTTTCTGGTGCCTTAGCTGGTCTCTCCTGGGCACCTCAAATCATGTTGACTATATTGGGGCATCTCTTCTCATGCCTGACAGAGGCCTTTTAGAGGACTTGTCTTTTGCTTGCAGGAAGAGATAGTTCACGCAGAATTCCTTCACACATTGAGAAGCTCTTTCTAGCATGGGCCCTGAAATGTTGTCTAATACTTTGTCCCTAAACTGAATGGTTCTGCCCCAGGCTCCTTTACCCTGAGTGGACAAGGTGGCCACTCAGCTCAGGACGTGCACAGGGTTCCTCACTATGGACAGTGGTAGAACAAGTCCAGTGGACTCCTAAGTTTTCTATACCTTGCAGTGAAGTTTAACCCTTACTTATCAGAGGGGACTGCACCATCTGCTAGAACTTCTCACTCTGTGGGTGTGTGGCAAGTGGAGGCTGGATACCCGTTGTTGAAGGCCCTTTGCATAGACAGGACCCAGTGTTGGGGGAGGTGAACTGGAAGTCAGCCACTCTTTTCCTCTAGGGACAAAGGTGGCTGAATTTCCCTATGGAAATGCTGGTGCCAGAGCAGCTGGAAGTCCTGGGCTGACTTCTGCCACACTTTGGGTTTGTGACTCATGATAAGAAGAATGCAGGCAATGGACTGTGTCAGAGCTGTGGCTGGAGGACCTGCCACACATTTTGTAGAATTTGGTTGCTCTTCTGTGAATCTTCTGGTGAATAAACAAGTTAGAAGTCAGAGAAAATTTGTAAAGGAAACTTTTGTTTCTTACCTGTGTTTGTGCTTTGGGGACAAGAGGTGGCCTCATGTATAGCTCTTCCCACAATCAGTGCACTTTGTAGGGTGTTCTGGCTATGTGTGCTCTCTAGTGATGCACCACACATATCACTCTTAGCAAAGATTTTAGAACAAACAGATATTGTGATAGGACAGAAGCATAGAACTGGTTGCTGTTTCCCTGGAGGGCAGAAAGGTGCCTTAACTTCACTGTGAAAAGATCTGTAATTCTATTTGTAAGTCTCTCTCTCTAGTCTTTTTTTTTTTTAATTTTAAGTTGTAGAAGGACACAATATTTTTATGTGGTGCTGAGGATCGAACCCAGGGCCTCACGCATGCAAGGCAAGCGCACTGCCACTGAGCTACAACCCCAGCCCTCTCTCCAGTCTTTTATTGTTAGACCATGATGCAAAGAAAGGACCACCGACTCTAATTTAAATCAAATTAAAGCAAGCTTATAATTTTGACTGGCCGGGCTGTCTCTCCCCAAAACTGTGGGAACAGAAGATAGCTCCACAGCTTTCTAAGGAGCACAGCTTTATAACACAGAAAGTTATACAAAGGGGGGTTTGAGAACTTACAAATAACAAAATTTTGACAAGCATAACACAAAGGCTAGTTAATATTTTAGTTGGCCCCAACATCAGAATTTATGAGGGCCATTAGAGCTTGAGAGAGAGTTGTTATCTGGTCAGGGAAAGCCAAGCTCCGGTGAGTTCAAGGAAAGGGCAGGCATTCCAAGCAAGTTTAGAAATCGCAGTAATTTATAGTGAAATTAGCTTTTCATGCCTTTGTGCAAGATGGCTCCCAATCTTAAGAAGGAATTTATCATTACCACTTGGTATTATCTAAATAATTGTTCTCATCTCTTTTCAGGAATATTGGAAGATGCCATCTTTCTTCCCAACAAGTTTCTTACCTTTATTTGTTCGGTTAGGCAAGAAAACACACAATCTATGGCCACTGTAACATTCACACAGGACAATTTGGCTCCTTAATTGTCAAGAATGTTACCTAACTTGTTTCAGCAAGAAGGGCAGAAAAAGGACAAGATTGCATGATATTAAGTTGTCTTTTCAGGGTCACTTTCTTCTGCATTCAAAGCTATACCTGGGGCAGTATTCTCAGGTTCTCTTCCTCCACAAACATCCAGTCAAGCCAGACAGGACTAGAAAGTTCTTAGATCACTTAAACGGGTCCTGTGGTTCTGTCTGTCAATTCTCTTCCTGAACTCTTCATTGTCATCCTCCCCTGCAAGAAATCCTGCTTCCCTGTGAGAAAATTCAGGTACCAGGGACTAAGGTTCCCAGGGATTGAGTTAAATTCAGGCTTTGAGGAGAGTAAAGGGAAGAGACAGGGTTATGAAAAAGAAAGAGGCTTCCTCTCTGCAGGAGGATCTCTGGACTGGTTCCTTCAGCGCTTAGAACCTGTGGGAAGAAGGAAACCGCTGAGAAAGGACTGCAGGGAGAGAGGGTAAGGAAGTGTATCTATCCTCACATCCCTTGGCTTTCATTCCTCAAAAAGATAAAACATAATTGAGGGCAAATGGGGGTGGAAAAGTTTTGAAAGCACGGGCCGAGGCGCCGGGCATCTCCCTCCTACTCACTCCCCCGGGGCAATTCTGGCGGACAGAGGTGCAACCGGCCTGAGTGCTTTCAGCCAATCATAAAGATGCCTCTGGTTCCCTGGCGACCATTCACGCCAAGGCAGCCACCGAAGTCGGAGGAGGAGGGGCGGCGAATGCACTAGCCACATTGACCAATCGTTGAGCTCTTTGGGAAGTTAGGGGAGGTGCTTCTGGAAGCCGGAGGCGGGGCTGTCTCCTTGGCAACGATCCTAGCCTTCCCAGTAGGGGAGAGGGGTGGATTAGGAAGAATGGGGAGGGGGCCGAAGAGGAGTGAGGGTGGGCGCGCTGGGGTGGGGACACGGAGTTCGACGAGGGAGTCCCAGGCTCAAGAGCCGCGATGAGGTCAAAGGGGAGTCCGTCTAGGATTCCGAGGTGCGGCCGGAGCTGACCCGAAGGCCTGGGAGGGGAGGGGAGTTAGACACCGCCCCCGCTGGCGCCGGGAAGCGTCGCTCCTTCTCGCTGACCTTGGTCTCGCTTGTCGCCTCGCCCTTGGCCACACGCACTGAGGGACACAGGGCTCGGGAGATCGACAGACAGGCCCGTGGACAGACGGAGACCCAGGATATAGGCACACAACTGCCCTAGCCCCTTCCGCTGGCTCCAGCACGCTGCGTTTCCCCTCGCCCTAACGCCGGGGCCATCCAGCCCAGGGTTAATGCCAACGAGTTTCCACCTCCAGCCGCTCCTAGAGAGGCCGCGCCGCTAGCCAGCGGGGGGAACTGGCCGCGGACGGACACTTCCTGTGCGGGGGGAGGGGGTCGGAGAGCCGCAGCCCAGCCCCGGGCCGGGGGGCCAGACCGCGGGGTCTCGGGCGGGGAGCGGTGGCCAGGGGCGGCAGGGTTAGTCGTGAAGCCCCTCATCTCCGAGGCCCCGACGCGCGGGGGCTGGTGAGGGCCACGGGACAAGTCGAGACCTTGGGAGGGGGGCGGGGCCGCGGGTAGGGGAGGGGCTCGGCGGGCCGGAGAGGCCCAGGGTCAAGACGTCCGGCCTCGGGGGCCAGGGCTGGGCAGCTGGGTGCCCTCGGCGGCGCTGAGCAGGCGAGTGGCGAGGGCCCAGGTTCCAGGGCACTCAGGCAGGGTCTCAGGATCGTTCACCATCGCCACCGCTGCTGCACTGGGAGCTGGCGGGGATGGAGCGGGAGGCGTCGCCGTGGGGTCTCGAGCCCCGGGATGTGCAAAGTCCTGACGAAATGGGGAGCCCCGAAGGGTCCCTCAAAGGTGAGGGAGGGACCTTTCCTCGGAGGATTGTACCGGGAGCGGGAGAAGGGGCTTTGGTCCGTGGGAGGGAAAGAGGGTCGGGGCCTTGGACACCTGGGACTTGGTAGGGGGGTGCTGGGGACTGGATGTTCTGGGTCTTCTCTGAAGGGTTGGGAATTTCAGCACCTGCCAAAGGGTCAGCGACCCTGCTTGGGGCGCGGGGAGAGGTTTGTGGCAACTAATGGACCAAATGACCTTCCAGGTCCCCACACAATCTGGATTTTCTGTAATTCTCTTGACCCTGCAGGCAACTCGAGTGAGAATGAGGAAGAGGAAATTTCTCAGCACGAAGGCAGTGGGGACTATGAAGTTGAAGAGATACCTTTTGGGCTTGAACCCCAAAGCCCCGGGTTTGAGCCACAAAGCCCAGAGTTTGAATCCCAAAGCCCCAGGTTTGAGCCTGAAAGCCCGGGATTCGAGTCCCGAAGCCCTGGGTTTGTGCCCCCAAGCCCCGAGTTTGCACCCAGAAGTCCTGAATCAGATCCTCAGAGCCCTGAGTTTGAACCCCAGAGCCCTAGGTATGAACCCCAAAGCCCTGGCTATGACCCTAAGAGCCCTGGTTATGAACCCCGGAGTCCTGGCTATGAACCCAAGAGTCCTGGGTATGAACCCAAGAGCCCCGGTTATGAATCCCAGAGCCCTGAATTTGAATCTCAGAGCCCCAGGTATGAATCCCAGAGCCTGGAATATGAACCCCCTAACCCTGGAATTGAATCCCAGAACCCTGGGTTCAAAACCCAAAGCCCCGAATTTGAGGCTGAAAGTTCTAAATTCCAGGAAGGTGCAGAGATGCTTCTGAACCCAGAGGAAAAGAATTCCTTGAGTATCCCCTTAGGAGTTCACCCCCTGGACTCCTTCACTCAGGGGTTTGGGGAACAGCCTACAGGAGCCCTGGCCCTGGGGCCACCTTTTGAAATGCCTACGGGGGCCCTACTGGCAACACCCCAATTTGAGATGCTCCAGAATCCCTTGGGTCTGACAGGGACCCTTCGGGGCCGGCGGGGCGGCCGGGCCAGGGGTGGGCAGGGCCCTCGGCCCAACATCTGTGGAATCTGCGGGAAGAGCTTTGGGCGGGGCTCCACTCTCATCCAGCACCAGCGCATCCATACCGGTGAGAAGCCCTATAAATGTGAGGTCTGTAGCAAGGCCTTTTCCCAGAGCTCTGACCTCATCAAACACCAGCGCACCCACACGGGCGAGCGACCCTACAAGTGTCCCCGTTGCGGCAAGGCCTTCGCTGACAGCTCTTACCTGCTTCGCCACCAGCGCACCCACTCTGGCCAGAAGCCCTACAAGTGCCCCCACTGTGGAAAGGCCTTCGGCGACAGCTCCTACCTCCTGCGGCACCAGCGCACCCACAGCCACGAGCGGCCCTACAGCTGCCCTGAGTGCGGAAAGTGCTATAGCCAGAACTCGTCCCTGCGTACCCACCAGAGGGTGCACACGGGGCAAAGGCCCTTCAGCTGTGGCATCTGCGGCAAAAGCTTCTCCCAGCGGTCGGCACTTATCCCCCATGCCCGCAGTCACGCCCGTGAGAAGCCCTTCAAGTGCCCGGAGTGCGGCAAGCGCTTTGGCCAAAGCTCTGTGTTGGCGATTCATGCCCGCACCCACCTGCCAGGCCGCACCTACAGCTGCCCCGACTGTGGCAAGACCTTCAATCGCTCCTCCACGCTGATTCAACACCAGCGCTCACACACGGGCGAGCGGCCCTACAGGTGCGCCGTGTGCGGCAAGGGCTTCTGCCGCTCTTCCACGCTGCTGCAGCATCACCGGGTCCACAGCGGGGAGCGGCCCTACAAGTGCGATGACTGTGGAAAGGCCTTCTCTCAGAGCTCCGACCTCATTCGCCACCAGCGGACCCACGCGGCTGGCCGGCGTTAACCCGGGACCCATCAGGGGTGGGGAGGCGGTGGGCAGAGGAGAAGGGGACCGGGAGCTAGAGAAACCTTTAGAGAGGTTAGTGGAAGGGTTGAAGCAGAATGGAAGAATTGAGCATCCTACAAGAGGGCCAGGGTGCAGGAAGTTACATGCCCTAGAGACTTATGGGAAATGGGCTATGAAGAGGGATTGGAGGGAGGCCAAACAGGCAGCAGGAGGCACTGGGAGAGATCCAGAAAGAGGTCAGCAGAGAACTGGCCTCAGCAGCATGCTCCTTAGTGGGTGCCTGGCTTGGCAAAGTGCTAGATGGGGAGGGGGGGAGGGAGAGGGAGGGCTAATTAGAGTGGGGTAGTTTAGATTGGTAGCTGCTGAGACCCTGTTGAGTTTGGAAGGGGTTAAAAGGGTAGGTAGGGTGGGGATTGGGGCCTTGGGGTAGGGCCTGGGCCTCTTGAGTGCAAACCCCAGCCTGCCTTGTCTTCCTCAGGCTTTGGAGCCCCTGAATTTGAGTTCAATAAAAACCTTATGTGATAAAAGAGACTTGTCCTTAAAATGAGTGTGGACAGTGCCCTGGGCATCATGAGCCACTAGTCATGACTATGAACAGCCAGTGAAGCCTTAGGGCCTTGTCTGGGAAGTGCTTTTATAAAGTTCAGTGTTTCCTTGGAATCTTATCTAAAATTCAGGAGGCATGATTTCCACCTAAGTTCTTGTTCCATGCTTTGCATGCTGCACAAATAGAGTGGCCCAGTGTGGGAGGTGCGAGGAAGCCTTCAACTTTATGGAGATTGCTCTTCCTAAACAGAGTTTCCCCTTGGGCCAGAAAACACCCTGATTGTCATCTCTCCCTGGTTCCTAGCACTCAGTTGCTCTGTCCCTTAAGCTGCAATCTCCAGCCACTATCTTGTGCAGATCCTTTGTCCAGGCTCTGAGACCAGAATGGGCAGCTGCTATCACAGCTTCACCCAAAGCACAGTGTATATTTGATCAGGTGTGAAGACTGGACCATTTTTCTTACTCTCATGACCCTCCCACCACACTGGGCTGAATTTGCCACAATTCTGCTTCCTTTTTAATGCCCCCGTGCCAGTTGGTTTGGGACCACCCTGTCCCTGCCCCACTTTTGTGTTACTTTTCCATCCAGTCCTAGCCTTCTTAACACTTGGCCCCTCAGAAATGGATGGAAAGTGCCATCTGAAGTGTGGCCTCTTGTGACCTTTGCTGGAGAGAACAGATGTCACAACTCGGGGAATCACTTGCTGCTGGACACATTTTGAGATAAAGACTACTAAGGGCCTGATAGTTCTCTCTGAAGGTTTACTTATTTTATTCACAGATAAGAAAAGAACTCATAGAGCTAAGTGACTTAAAGTTACTCTGTGGCTAAGAGGCAGATGTGACATTCAGATTATATCTATGTGGCTCTGACTCTCTCCAGCAGCTTGGTTACACAGGCATAATTTAAATCTCTTGGGTCTCTGGATCCAACCCCTTACCCATCCTCAGGGCCTTATAACTTGCAAAGAGCAAATAACTTCTTGGAGCACATTTCAGACCAGTCTCTCATTATCTGCAAGCTCTAGAGTTATGCAGTTCAGTTTGTTTGGTTTTCAAACTAAAATATTTTTGGAAGTAGGAGCTGGAGATTTTAGCTCCCAGGCAGAGCTTTTACTTAGCATGCAGAACACCCTGGGTTCAATCCTCAACGTGTGTGTGTGTGCGCATGTACACACACCCGTACACACACACATATACACACACACGACGTAAAACATCATTGTCAAATGAAATCTTAATAATAATTTCAAGATATTTATGAATTTGTGTGTGTGTGTGGGGAACTGGGATCAAACTTAAGATGTCTCGCGAATGATAGAGAAGCACTCTACCACTGAGCTACCTCCTCAGCCCCACCTTTATGAACCTGATGAATTTTTTTTTAATGGGGTTAAATGTTGCCCACTCAGCCCTCAAACTCCTGGATTCCAGTGATTCTCCTGCCTTAGGTGCATGCCACAGGGCCCAGCTGATGCAGACTTTTTGTATTGACATTCTACCACACATAATTTCAAATATTAAAATATTCCAACTACCACATGTAAAATAACTACATAGGTATAAATGTTTAATAGTACTGCACCTGACTACCTGACATATTTGTGCATTTACTTAACCCTTCAATTTCAATTCTATAATTTTATTTTTGTATTTTGAAGTTGATTTTGTATTCAGCTCCCAAACATGTCTATAGACCCTTGAAAACTGGAAGACCCAGGGCACAAGAGCTGTGACATTTAATTACAAGTGGCTTGTATGAACAGACCCTCAATATTCATCAGTATCCATGGGTAATTGGCTCCAGGACCCCCTGAATATATCAAAATCTGAGGATGGTCAGGTTCTTTATATGAAATGGCATATATTTGCATATAACTTATATAATTTTCCCATACACTTTTTTTTTTTTATACTGGGGATTGAACCCAGGGATGCTTAACCACTGAGCGACATACTCAGTCCTTTTTTGTATTTTATTTTGAAGCAGGGTCTTGCTGAGTTGCTTAAGGGCCTTGCTAAGTTGCTGAGGCTGGCTTTGAACTCATGATCCTCCTGCCTCAGCCTCCTGAGCCACTGGGATTACAGGCATGTGCCACCTTGCCCAGCCACTTTAAATCATTTCTAGATTACTTATAATACCTATATATGTAATTAGTCATTAAACTGCATTATTTTAAGGAATAATGACAAGAAAAAATCTGTACATGTTCAATACAAATGCAATTTTTTTCTGAATATATATTTTGTAGTGCTGGAGATTAGACCCAGGGCATCATGCATGTGAGACACATGCTGTACTAGTGAGCTACATCCCCAGTGTCCTAAATATTTTCAATCCACAATTAGTTGAATTGGCAGATGTGATAAAGTTTGTGGATAAAAGGTCCATTGTATATAAAAGCAGATCAAATAAGGGTGAGGATTTAGGTGATCAAACTCCACACTTCTCTTCTATGACAGCTCCTGAGAAACTTCCAGAGTAGGGGAAAAAAAAACCCAAAAAACAGAAAGGGCAAGTTTCTTTCCCAAGATCACACAGCAAGCTAGTGGGAGAACTCCAACTCCAGATTAGGTCTCTCTATTTGGCTTTCTGCTACAGCCTGCACAAGGAAAACCATTGCCATCTGCTACCATTAATAAGCATATATGGGCTAGGAATAGTGCTAAGCAATTTGCAAGTGTCATCTCATTTAATGCCCCCAGGAGCTCTGAAGTATACATATATACAGTTTTTATTTCCATTTTACAGATGAAAAAAACAAGTCCCAAGGACACAGCTAGGAGGCAGCAGAGCCTGAATTCAAACCAGGTCTGACTGAAGTTTGACTATTTTCCTTAACAATATTAAGATGTTCTTTGTTCACTCTCTCTTGAAAATACAGCATTTTCTAGTTATGATTTGCAATGGCATATATCATTATTCTGATGGTTCATGTGGAATATGGGCTTGGATGTTCTTATGTTTTAACTTTTTTTCCATTTTTAACTTCTAATTTAATAAATAACAATAGATATAACCCATATAAAAAATGATTCTTTGGAGAATCCTCAATAGTTTTAAAAGCATAAAAGAATCCTCATATTAAGTGCCGCAGAATTAGACACTTATGGAACAGCCCCTTTATGCCAGCCCTGGGGAGGAGCAGGTGTTGCTAAGACACAAATGAGGCTTTATCCTCCTTGCAGGACCTAACAGTTTGGAGAGAAGCCTGCTCAGAGGCAGTGTGATGGGCCCCAGTGAGGAGGAAGCTCAGTGCTGATGGAATCGAGTGAATGAAGAAAGCTCAAGTGCTTTGAAGTAAGGAAAATCGTATTGGACAGAAAAGAGATAGAATCCAGGTGGTGTGGTGTGTGCCCATAGTCCCAGCTATTTGGAAGGCTAAAGTGAGAGGATCACTTGAGTCCAGAAGTTCAAGGCCATCCTGGGAAATATAGGGAGACCCCCATCTCAAAACAAAACAAAAAAATAAAAAATTTAAAAAAAGAAGAAGAAAGGAAAAGGAGAGGTGGAACGAGCATTTTGTGTAAAGTCATAAAGGCAGAGAAAGGCAAATAGGGAGGACCAGTTAGAAGAGATTCCTAGATGCAAATGATGGCAGTTCTCATCCTGAAATGAGACTTGCTTTTTTGGTTCCAGACTCGATGAAAACAATTTTGTGTGTGTGTGTGTGTGTGTGTGTGTGTGTGTGTGTGCAAGTATGTCTCAAAATATCACCTCCTCAGAGATACTTCCCTGACCACTCTCGGCCTTCTGCATCACTCCCTAACCTGTTTTCCTGCTTTCTTTTCTTCCTAGCCCTAATCACTACCAGAAGTCACCGTACTATTTTCCCACTGGAATAAACTTCTTGAGAGCAGAGATTTGCCTTTTTCATCACTACATCTTCAGATCCCAGGACAGAGCTGGACACAAAGCCCTCAAGACCTACTGCATGAAAAGAACCTGACTTACCTTTCATGAGCCCTACAGATCATTTCATGTGCTGTTCTTAGTTCTGCGATATTCTGGGCAGTTAAACATTTTCTCCACTCTGGGAAAATGGGTCTCAGTTCTTCCTTTCTGCTATCTTGTTTATGGGCCAGCCCCAGGTTCTTTGGGGGCTTGACCAGGAGAATGGGTGGTGAGGTTGGAGAGGCTAGGAGGTTTTGAATGACCATCTTGGGTCTTGCATGCCAGGCTTGGGAATGTTTATGTCATCTTCTCTAGGCAGAAGGGGGCAGTCACTGCCTGGGGAACCAAAATATTGCACCATGTTCTCTCTTCCCAGTGCTAGACCAGGAGCTGATCTTAGTCACTCAATATTTCCTTGGGGTCCTACTGAGCACAGGAAGACAACAGTGACTGGCCCCCTCTTTCTCCTCTAAAGGAGATACTCGAGGGCCATACCTCTTCCATCCTTGCTCTAAATAAAAGATAAGGAAGGTGTGGGGGATCACTGAACCCAGGGTCTCAAGCATGCACAAACATACCACTGAGTCCTTTTCTAATGTTTATTTTGAAACAGAGTCTCACTTTGTTGCTCAGTCTGGCCTTGAACTTGTGATCCTCCTGTCTTAGCCTCCCAAGTAGTTGGGATTACAGACATGCACCATTATTACTGGATTATACTCCCAACTTAATAAATTATCAAATGCCCCTAACCTTGTCTACCTTTTCTCTGATTCAGTTTTTCCCTCCCACCCCCCTCTCTTTGTCCTTTGTGGTGCTGGGGATTGAATCCAGGGCCTCATGCATTTTAGACAAGTGTTCTACCACTGAGCTACACCACCAGTCTCTCTCCTTTTTTAAAAAAATATTTATTTTTTAGGTGTAGATGGACGCAACACAATGCCTTTATTTTTATGTGGTGCTGAGGATCGAACCCAGGTCCTGCTCGAGCTAGGGGAGCACTCTACTACTGAGTCACAATCCCAGCCCCTCTCCTTCTCTTTTTAATAAAACCTACAAGGTCAGGCACAGATCAGTATCTGAGGGTCACCATGGTAAAAGAAAAAAAGAGGGAGGATAGGAAGGAGGGAGGGGGAGAGAGAGAGAGAGAGAGAGAGAGAGAGAGAGAGAGTCACAGAGAAGGAAGAGGCAGAGCTGACCATTTTGGTTCCTCTTAGGGAGAACTGCAACCTTTTAGGTTGAAAGGGGAATGTTTATCTAATTGAACCAGTCTGGAATGTTGCACCAGCACAAAAACATCACAAAATTGGACCGAATCTCACATTTACTGAGCAAATATGTACAGGCACTGTGTTTGGTGGCAAGGCACCAGTGGAACCCATTCCATTTTGAGCTTGGCTTTCTTCTGAGCAGGCGCTGTGGAACCAGGAGAGGGGCGGAACCTGTGAAGGCTGAGCCTTGACAGGGTTCCCAAGGGCCTGTCTAAACATTTTCTATATCTTTCCATAGGTTCCATCATGAATTTAATGAAATTGTGACAAACACCTGCTGTGTGCCCTACCCTGAGATAGCATCAGTGATTCTAAGGTGAACGGGGACAGTTACTGCACTCCTTACATTCATGGAGTTCACTATTTGAGAGATAAAAATTAAATAAATCATTAAGCATTGAACACATACAACCTGGGGGACAAGGAACAGGTTCAGGCCAGTGTAAGTGTGGACAATGTAGAGCTGGATTGAGCCAGGATGGGCGCTGCCTTGAGGAAATGACAAGTAGGCAGAGATCTGAAGGGTAGGAATGTTCCAGGCACAGGGGGCTGTCTGGGCAGATGCAGCAAGAGAGGAAGGAGCTTGGCAGCCAAGAAAGGCTGGAATAACAGAAGCCTAGAAAGCCCTAGAAAGGGAGGTAGGACATCTCCAGAGCTGTAGGGACCCAATTCTGCAAGACCTTGGAAGTCTTCTTAAGGAAGGTGGTCTTTGTCATTTGCTATAGCAACGCAGTTACACGATCACATTTGCTCTCTGGCAACAGAATGGGGGGGACTAACACTAGGAGGAGAGAGTACAGGGGCAAGTTCTGGCAATCCGAGGCCTCTGGACATCCAAGGGCAAAGGTGAAGGCCAGAGTATCACTAGGTTCTGAGACTGCAGTTCAAATTTCAATTTCAATTTAAATTAGATATTCTCTTCCAGGGGAGGAAACTAAGACAGGCTGGTGGGAGCCAGGACCATCTGAGGACCACAAGGCCTCACCTCTGTAGATTCTCACCGTGAATCTGCAGAAGAGACAGGCAGGAATGAGATCCATGCTCAAAACTAGGAAACTGAGGCCTGCAATGCAGGCAGAGGCTGACTAGCCCCAGGAATCGTAAGTTCAGTTCTGAGTCCTCTGTGCATCAAGCCTGGACCTCAGTCCTTGTCACCTCCATCCTGGGCCTCCTCTCCCTGGAGGGGCTTTAAACAATCCAGATCTATGGACTTTTCCTGAGATGCTTCTCCAGAGTCTTCTCCAGCGATTCCATTTGGAACATTTCCATCAGCTTCCATTTTCTCCTTCAGGTTCCGTTTGAAGAATCCAACCTGAAGGAAGACAGATATTGAGTGAGCGAAAGTCCAGGCAGCATTTTGGACCAGTCAGCTCCAACAACGTGTGAAGACATTCTGTCATCTGCAAGCTTGGTTCTTTGGTGGGGGAAAATATATGTCCATATTAATCTTGAAAAAACTTTTTTGTGTGTTGGAGAATGTAACCGAGGGGCTCACAAGTTAAGCAAGTGCTTTACTATTGATCTACATGCCCAGCCATTCATATTGTTTGTTTTGTTTTGTTTTGTTACTGGGGATTGAACCCAGGGTGCTTTACCACTGAGTCACATCCCCAGCCTAATTTTTTTTTTTTTAGTTGTTGATGGACCTTTATTTTCTTCATTCATTTTATATGTGGTGCTAAGAATCGAACCCAGTAACTCATGCATGTGAGGCAAGTTTGTTCTACCACTGAGCCATAACCCTAAACACCCCAGCCTAATTTTTATTTTTTATTTTGAGACAGGGTCTTGTTAATAGCCCAGGCTGGTCTTGAACTTGTGATCCTCCTTCCTCAGCCTCTTGGGTTGCTGGGACTACAGGTGTGTGCCACCCTGCCTGGCTGGAAATACTTTTAAAAGCTTTAAGTTTAGTAGTTCACTCTTTTTTTCTGTAGTGCTGGGGATTACACCCAGGGCCTCATGAGTTCTAGGCAAGCACTTTACCATTGAGCTACAGTACAGCTACATCTCCAGCACTAGTAGTAGTTCATTCTTTTGGCTCATCAAAATGTCATGTTTCAATCTTTTAAATGAGTGTCTTTTTTTTCTCCCAGTGCTGGGGATTGACCCATGGCCCCCCACACACTAGGCAAGTGCTCTATCACTGAGCTATTCCCCAGCCCATTGACCAGTTATTTGACAGTATTTAGTAACAAACATGAAGAGCCAACACTTATATAGTGCTTATTATATGTACCCACTTGTTGAAAGCTCAAAACATACATATATTTTCCCCAGTGCTTTCACTTCTAGGAATTAAGTCTAAAAAATATTTGAATAAATGTGCAAGGATATTGGTAAAAAGAGTCTTTGTCACATTGGTTGAAACAGACGGGAATGAGAAACAATCCAAATGTTCATTGCTCATCAATAGGGAACTTGTTTAATCTTGGTGACTTGGGAGGCTTAGACAAGAGGATCATAAGTTCAAGGCCAGTCTGGGAAACTTAGCAAAACCACATCTCAAAATATTGAAAAACAAAACAAAACAAACAAACAAACAAACAAAAAAAAAAAACAAAGAGGGCTGGGAGACTCAGTGGTAGAGCTTCTCTGGGTTCAATCCCCAGTATGAGAAAACTAAAAAACAAAATAGGAACTTATTAAATAAAAAATGGGACATCCAGATATTAGAAAACTAGCCAAGTTCAAAAGCAGGAGGTAAAGCTGACGAACATCAAGATGTAGTATCAAGTAGATATCAGGCACAGTGGCTCACGCCTGTAATCCCAGTGGCTTGGGAGGCTGAGGCAGGAGGATTGCAAGTTCAAGGCCAGCTTCATCTGTTAGCAAGGCCCTAAGCAACTTAGTGAGATCCTGCCTCAAAGTAAAAAGTAAAAAGAGCTGGGGGCTGGGGGAATGTGACTCAGTGGTAAAGCACCCCTGGGCTAAATCCCCAGTACCCCCACCCCGCCAAAAAATTTATATATATATATATATATATATATATATAGAGAGAGAGAGAGAGAGAGAGAGAGAGAGAGAAAGAGTGTTAAGTGGAAAACACAAGCTCCCAAGAAGTCTTTACAGTATTACTCCATTTGTGTTCTTCACCTATACACACATAAAATTTCTCGTCTCTTTGTTAAAATATTTTTTAGTTGTAGATGGACACAATACCTTTACTTATTGATTTATTTTTACGTGGTGCTGGGGATCAAACCCAATGTCTCACCCATGTGAGGCAAGTGCTCCACCACTGAACCACAACCCCAGCCCTTCTTTTCTCTTACACTCACATGCACACATATATTAACAATGAAATCAGAATTTGAAGGAATAAAAACAAAATTGGGAGTTTATGACAACCCTCTGGGAATGGAATTAGAGAGAAACTTTGATTTTCTGTGCTCTCTTTTCTGTAATATTTGAGGTTCTTTACCTGGATCATATGCCCTTCACTCTTCATCTCTATCTTCTAGTCATTCTTCAAATCCCAACAAAATGCCACCTCTCTTAGGAGGACTTCCCAGGCCCTCCCAGCCTGAGTGAGGTGCCTGTGTGACAGGTTCCAGAGTACACAGGTCCCCAGTGTGGCACTCATTATGCCTTCCCTTTGGGAAGACAGGGACCATATTTTGGCATATGCCTCTGTACTATGGGACTTGGCACCAGGAGGCCCTGCTACATGGGCATCCTTGTCGCTCCTTTCTAGGGTACCTAATCCTGGCTCTGCCAGTGCTGGACTGAGCAATAGTGAGAAAAAAACCTCACATGCTCTTTAAGACCTCAGTAGCCTTATCTGCAGAGAGAGGAGATAAGTTGACACCTTTTCTGGCTCTAATGCTCCCTGAACACAGTGGTCTCCTCCCTGGCTCCTGCCAAAGGGCATCCCCCAGTC